ATTAAGGAAAGGAAGAGAAAAGTAGGCAAACTGCTGTAACTAACAACTCCCAAAACTTAGTGGGATAACTGTAGATTTTTTTATTGATTTCAGAGAGGGAGAGATAGAAGCATCAATGATGAGAGAGAATCATTGACTGGCTGCCTCCTGCACGCCCTCTACTGGGGATCAAGCCCGCAACCCTGGCATGTGCCCCTGACCAGAATCGAACCCGGAACACGTCAGTCTGCAGGCCGACGCCCCGTCCACTGAGCCACACCGGCCAGGCCAGGGCCTTTCCTCTCTTTTTAAATCACCTTCGTTTTTATGATCCCCTGGGGCAGGAGAGTGCCATGGTCTGGCTTCCCCGATGGAGCAACTTAGCTCTGATGGCTTCTGTTTCCTCAACTGGAAAACGGGAATGATAATGACCTCTGCCTGACCAGGCGAAGAAAAGGAGATAACTTAATTTGCATAAAGCGCGTAGAACGTCCCCAAACCATGGCACTCAATAGAGTGTATCTAATTAGGCTTGTTGCTTTTTTGTTTGTTTGTTTGTTTGTTAAATATATTTTATTGATTACTTACAGGAAGGAGGGGAGAGGGATAGAGAGTTAGAAACATCAATGAGAGAGAATCATTGGATCAGCTGCCTCCTGCACACCCACTACTGGGAACGTGCCCGCAACCAAGGTACATGCCCTTGACCGGAATTGAACCCGGTACCCTTCAGTCCGCAGGCCAATCCTCTATCCACTGAGCCACACCGGTTCAGGCTAGGCTTGTTGCTGTTACTACGACTATTCATGTGTGTAAAAAACTACCGCGTGTCCAGTAGTTATTGTCATCGATCAGGCACCAGGTTGGCCCTTCACGCTCAGGATCTAGACCAGGAATCGGCAAACGGTGATTTGCCCCACCGTGTGTGTTTGTACGGGTTGTGAGCTAAGCTTGGTTTTTACACTATTGCAAGGTGCGGAGGAAAAAAATATTTCATTCCATTAGCATTTATCCGCCCTTTACTCACTCCAACCTCCCTCTACTCCCTCCTCCCCTCCCACCCCCTTTCTCTCTGGTAAGCACCATCCTATTGTCTGGAGTGGTGAACACACAATACAATACACAGGTGATGCATTAGAGAACTGTACCCCTGAAACCTATATCATTTTATTAGCCAATGCTAATAAATTCAATCTTAAACATTTAAAAAAATATTTTGTGACCCATGGAAATTACAGTAATTTTGAATTTTAGGGTCCATAAGTAATGGTATTCGTGGAACTGGGCTGTGCCCACTGCCCTGGGTGCTTTGGCACTACAACCCTATGGCCCACAAGGTCTGAAATATCTGCTCTCTAAATTTGATGAGGGGAGGACAGGCGAGGGCTGGAAGAGGCTTATGGGGGGAAAGGGAGGACCTATGTCATACTTTCAACAATAACAATAAAAATAAGCCCGGCTGGCGTGGCTCAGTGGTTAAGCATCGACCTATGAACCAGGAGGTCAGGGTTCGATTCCAGGTCAGGGCATATGCCCGGGTTGTGGGCTCGATCCCCAGTGGGGGGCTGGCGGGAGGCAGCCAATCCATGATTCTCTCTTATCATTGCTGTTTCTATCGCTCTCTCCCTCTCCCTTGCTCTCTGAAACCAACAAAAATATATATTTTAAATAAATAAAAGGTTTGCCAAGAATTGTTCTCTCAACAGCTCCGCAAAGGAAGGCTGTAGCACACACACAGGAAGTGTTGGGATTTGAACCCTAGACTCTCTGGGTTTACAGCAGCAGGCTCCTTCAGCCGCTACCCCCACCACCTTGAATGCACACGATGGGTCCCTGGCGGTGGGTGCCCAGGTCAGAGTCTATGAAATGACCTGGAGAAACCAGGTCAGGAAGTGGAGTTCAATGCCTTTCCAATGACTCTGCTGTTACATCAGAGGCCTGACTCCCAGCCCTGACAGCATCATTGATCCTCAGCTTGACCTTGGGAAGTCCGGCCCTGCTGCACTGGCGCCAGCACGGCTTTGGTGATGAGAAAACCCTCCATTCTCACCCCAGCCCGGCCACTGACGGACGAAGCTAGGTCTCCTCTGCTATTTCCAACTCTGTGAACCGCAAACAACGGGGTTTTCTCTTGGGCGGATTAAAGAACATCTCCCTGCCCCACTTTCTCGCACTCTCTAGGCCACTATTTTTTTTTTCCCATCTGAAAAAAAAGGATGAGCCCTTTCACTCCGACACTCTGGGATGGTGTCGGCCTAGGTGTCTTATTTTAGCTCAGCGTCTGGCTCCACATGCTGTGATTCTAGTTTGCACAGAGGTGGCACCCTGGTTTCCCTGGAAAAAGTCTCCTCAGTTCACGTTGGAGGCACGAGGGAGGATTCGCCTAGACTAGAGAGAGCTGGGGGAGGAGCAGAAAGGGGATGGGGGAGGGGGAACCCAAAAAACCCATCTTGATATGCAGAGGCACCTCAAAACGGGGAGCGGAATGGGGGCCCCGGGGGACCGAATGGAAATGAGACCAACAACAGGGTTTGCTCGTAAAATATCAACTGGGTGAAAAGGACCTGAATGGAGTTTAATGACGTGGAGTTCATCGGAACTGAGGAGCTGAGTCAGAATGGATTGGGGTGAGGTCGACCAGATGGATGGAGTTAAACGTGATAGAGCTGAGTGGACCTGGGCTGACCTGACCCAAGAAGACCAAACAGCTGCAATCGGGAAGAGGGGACATCCGGAAGGACACTCCTCCAGGCCTCAGCACACTCGAGTCCTCGGGCACCAGCTGATGCCGGAATCTTGGGCAACTCCCTGCACAACTCCAGGCCTCAGTACCCCCATTTTTATGAAGCGAGTGCTAATAATAACTCCCGGGCAGAGATGTTCTAAGAAGGGCGTGCAATCACCCCTAGCTCGGAAGAGAACGAACTAGAGACACATATTGAATTCTAGCTAATGACAGGCACAAGGAAGTATTTAGGGCAAAGTGTACCAATGCTGCAACTCGCTTTGAAATGCATTTTTTTAAAAAAAGTCGCCCCGGCCCGTTTGGCTCAGTAGATAGAGCGTCAGCCTGAGGACTGAAGGGTCCCAGGTTCAATTCCGGTCAAGGGCATGTACCTTGGTTGCAGGCACATCCCCAGAAGGGGGGTGGTCTGGGCACATACAAGAATCAACCAATGAATGCATAAATAAGTGGCACAACAAATCAATCTCTCTCTCTCTCTCTCTCTTTCTCCTCTATCTCTCTCTAAAAGCAATAATTTTTAAATTAATAATAATAATAATCAGAAGGAGGAGGAAGAGGAGGAGAAAAGTTGATGGATGGGTAGAAATATACCAGTAGATAGATGTGCAGATTCAGGACAAATGAAACCTAATCACAGGGTAATAATTGACTTTAAGCGGTGGCTCCAACATTTTTTGCCTTTTCTATTTGAAAACTTTTCAGAGAAAATGTTGAACAGGAAATGAAGAGCCCTGTAACCTGTGACTTGCTGAAATCCCAGGAGCAGTTAAAGGCCCAGCTCTGCCTCTCCCTGGCTGTGTGGCCCTGAGCAAATGACCTCATCTCTCCCAGTGTTTGCTTTCCCATCTGTGAAATGGGTCTATTAACAGCATCTACCTCACAGGGTCCTGAGTATCCGCACAGAGCCTGGTACCCGCTGAGCACCTCATAAGCATCCGCTAAGTTTCAGCCTCTGTGACATGGGCGCTGCTCTCTCCACCTCCCAGAGGAAAAGTGGGGCTCAGAGAGGTTCTGCAACTCCCCCAGGAACACACAGCCAGGAAGTGGCTTTCTCAGTGCAGGAGGGAACCACCTAGAACCGAAAAGAGCCCCCCACCTCCCCAGCTCCCGTAAGTGCTTTCCTTGGGCTCACCCGATAGGATGAAGAAGATTCCAGAAACGAAGGCCAGAATGGTCCTCTGTGGACGGATGTGGCCGATGTTGCTGATGACGAAGGCGGTGAACACGAGGAAGAGGCTGACCATGGGGAAGGGGGTGGCTGTGCGCACGGTCTCTGGGGGAGGGGAGAGACAGGGGGTGAGGGGGGCAATTCGGGGGGGACACCTCCCCATTCTCCATGACCTCCCCGCTGTCACCATCCCCCGTACCCCTTTGGGTGGCTTCTCTCCTTTCCACAGACTCTCCCTGTTTCTGAAAATTCCGGGGCTGACTGGCGGTCTTCATCCAGGCCACACCCCCTTTGGTTTGACCCCACCCCTTTTGCATTGGCCCCGCCCACCCGTTGTCTAGGCCACGCCCCTTGTCCGCCCCTCCTCCTTACCGAGGCACATTCCCTGCTCTTGCCCTTTCTCCCAGGACCCTGCCCCCTTGTTCCCCAGGCCCCCCGCTTCCCCTCACTCAGAATATTCTCCGTGTTTTCCGTCACCAAGTTGATCTCCGGTTCAAGAAAATATTCCGAGGCCACGCAGCGACCCTTCTCCCGACCTGGGGGGGAGGACAGGAGGGCAGGGCTGGGTGAGAGGTTCCTAAGGTCTGGAAAGGCAGTCAGGGGCACCTCGCACAGTGGGGAGGCCCACCGGCTGGGGGTTAGGGACCAGGAGATGGTGTGAGCACTGGGGGTCCTGGAGGCAGGACATACAGGGCTCGGAATTGGGTCTCGGGGGAGGAATCGAGTCTCCAGGACAGAAACAGGAGGGGTGTCTGGATTTCTGGAACCCAGAGACGGAACGAAGAATAAAGAACTGTGGGCTGGCCCGGCTGGTGTGGCTCAGTGGTTGAGCATCGATCTATGAACCAGGAAGTCACGGTTCGATTCCCAATCGGGGCACATGGCTCAGTTGTGGACTCGATCCCCAGTAGGGGGAGTAAAAGAGACAGCCAATCACTGATTCTCTCTCATTTATGTTTCTCTCTCTCTCTCTCTTTCTCTCGGATCAATAAAAATATACTTTTTAGCCCTAGCTGGTTTGGCTCAGTGGGAGCATCAGCTTGCAGACTGAAGGGTCCCAGGTTCGATTCTGGTCAAGGGCACATGCCCAGGTTGCAGGCTCCATCCTTAGTAGGGTGCAT